GAGATGGAGTGAGGTGAATTGAGGAGGTGGGTTGAGTTAAAAGATTGAGTGACTTGAGCTGAGTGACTTGAGTTGAGTGAGATGAGTTGAAATTAGATGAGTTGAGTGGGAGTGGAGTGAAGTGAGTTGAGTGGGGTGAGTTGAGTGAGATGGGTTGAGTGAGGTGACATGTGTGAAATGACTTGTGTGAGATGAATTGTGTAAGAAAAATTGAGTGAGATGTTTTGGGATGAGATGAGTTGAGTTGGAGTGGAGTGAGGTGAGGTGGGTGAAGTGCGTTGAATGGCTTGAGTTGGGTGCGGTGAGTTGGGTGACAAAAGTTGAGCTGAGATGAGTTGAGCTTAGATGAGTTGAGCGGGAGTGCAGTGAGGTGAGTTGAGTGAGGTGAGTTGGGTGAGTTGAGTTGTGTGAGATGAGTTGTGTGAGATGAGTTGTGTGAGATGAGTTGAGTGAGTTGAGTTATGTGAGTTGAGTTGTGTGAGGTGAGTTGAGTAAACTGAGTTATGTCATGAACTCAGTGGGTTGAGTTGTGTGAGATGAGTTGAGTTAGATGAGATGAGATGAGATGAGATGAGATGGAGTGGGAGTGGAGTGAGGTGAGTTGAGTGAGGTGACTTGAGGGAGTTGAATTGCGTGAGTGAAACTGTTGCACCTGCCACGCAGAAGCAGGTCCAGGAGCAGCAAAGTGTTGCGCATGCCAGCAAAAAGTAGCTCCATGAACACCAAACGCTGCGCGTGCCACACGGAAGCAGCCGGGGCCGCAGCGGCGATCAAGTGCGCGCCGGCAGTCCCTCAACAAGAGTCAAAGTGTTGCACCTGCCACGCAAAAGTGCTCGAGGAGCACCAAACGCTGCGCGTGCCAGGGGAAAGCACCGGGGCCTGAGCGGCGACCAAGCACGTGCCGGCAGTCGCCAGGCAGTCAAAGTGCTGCACTTGCCATGCAAAAGCAGCTCCAGAAACATCAAATGCGGCGCTTGCCATACGAATGCCGCGCCTGCCGCGCGAAAGTGGCAGGTTGTGCGAGTGGAGTGGTGTGAGTTGAGTTGGGTGAGATGAATTTGTGTGACATGAGAGCGTGTAATGTGAGTTGTATGACATGAATTGTGTGAGTTGAGTCGTGCGTGAGTTGAGTTGTGTGAGTTGAGTTGTGTGAGATGAGTTGTGTGAGATAAGTTGAGAGAAGGCGACGGAGGATGAGGAGGATGAGGCGGAGGCAGCGGAGGCGGCGGAAGCGGGATGCAGAGCTAAAAACAAAACCGCACACAGTGATGTGGAGAAAAAATCAAGCAATAGCAAAACTCCAGGAAACGTGGGACAAACTGGGGGTATCTGGGGGTGCCAATACGGTGATGCCATGGCCAAAACCTGCCATGTCTTGTGCTTTGTGTGGGGAATCCGGGCAGCTCTGGGTACCGTGCAGACCGTGGACACTGTGGACGGTTGCACGGGTCGCTCCCCCGGGCGCTCGAAAGCCGGACATCGACAAGACCTTGGGCACCGAAGGTGGGGCGGTCGCCGAAGGATGCCAAAGGTGTTGGAAATTTCAGTCTATAGAGATCTATGGAGATTGGATTCAAAAAAGGTTCTTGTCAACCAACATGGAGTCTTGAAACAAGAGAAACTTGAGAATCACCCACCCCAAATTTTGAAATATAACTTAACCAAAAAAAAGGATTTACCGACTGGTATCTCGGCAGGATTGATAGACCCAGTCTACCCAAAACTCCAGTTGGGTACTTCACTGAATCAATGGATTGGTGGTTTAAGGGACAATTTTGCAGGACCCCCCTTAAATTTGATGGATAAACACAATAAATACGGTGGATTCTGCCAAGATGTCCCAGCTACAATCTGCCAAAACCGCAGATGTGGAGAATTTCCAGTTTCTGCCTCAAGAGACTTGGCAGCGCAAAGGGGTGCAGATTCGCCACCGGGCCCTGACTTCCATCAGTCCTTGAGTGCTCAGTTAACACTCCTTTCCACCATAGTGAAGATTTGGTGAAAAACACCAACCTCATCTAAATCCATGTATCTATCTGTAAAATCAATCCTAAAAATCCTGTAAACCAAATCAATCGATACAAATCAAAAAACTCAAAAGAACACACATCTTCAAATTCCACAAGAATCATCGAGAATCAATTTAAAAATGCACAAAACATCTTTTGGCGTTTTTCCAATTTTTCAACTCCCCCGGAGCCGCTCCACCGTTTCCCAGGACCAGCTGCTGCGGCCGCCCTTGGAAGCGGCGGAGCTGTGCTGTGGGTGGAGGACGACCAGGACGGGGGCTCGGGGGTGGGGAAAGGATGGGGGGTTAGGGCGAGGTGAAATGATGCTTGAAATATCTTGAAATGAAATTGACTTATATAAATTGAATCGAAATCCAAACATTGTTTAACCGTCAGTTTGATCATACTCTGTTGTAGCTCCACCCTGTTATTCCATTTGTTCACAGAATACCTGGCCTGAAGATACCTGCATATATCTTTGCGTTGTGCGTTCACTAAATATCACCATGTCTTCCGTATTTGTATTGCTCGTGACTTTTCATTCAATCATCTTGTCCAACCATTTCTCTTTTTCTTTTCTTTGTGCCATAGGCATGTGCGCATGAAACTTATCGCTTATGTACAGACAATTTGTGTACACGCCCGTAGGCACCCCTAACTAAGGCCACATGCGAACCCCTCTCAGTACGTCTCCAGGTCCATATAGTTGATTGTAGTAACAAATTGGTACCGAAGTCCAGGTCAAAGCCTGGTAAATGAAGTTAGAACTCAAAATTAAGCGCAGCTCTTTGAATCATAGCCAGCTCATCTGGGGACTGATGGAATTCATCATCATCATCCGGGTGGAGTTTTTCCCATATATATCGTAAAGTAGTATCCATCCATCTCTTTCTTGGTCTTCCCCTGCGGCGGTGTAAGACTTCGAATGGCGTCGCAGAATTGGGTCTAAAACTTATATTTCTCAAGGGGTTTGTTTTATCTTGTCTTAGTATATGTCCAGCCAAAGCGACTCGTTTTTGTTTAAGGGTTTCGTGAATTCTTTGAACATTCTTTTCAGGACGGTGTCTTGTGCCCATGGCCATACTGGCCCTCCGTAGAACTTCCTGGTTGGTGTTTGCTCTATTGATGAACGTCGTGTCCATTCTTAATATTTTGCGTAAACCTTTCATATGGAAAGCTTCTAGTCTGGACATTTGCGGTTTCGTGATTTCAAGCGTTTCAAGGCCGTAGAGCAGCCTGGCTTTTACAATTGCGTCAACAATTCTCAGTTTATTTCCAGTGGAGCATTGAGCATGCTTCCATAACACGTCTAATTTCTTCCAAGTGGCCATTGCAGCCGAGATTCTATTAGACACTTCATTGGCAACTGACACATCGGAAGTGAGGGTCCCTCCCAAATACGTGATTTCATCGGCGTGCGGTACTGCGGTCCCATCCAAGAAGCGAATCCGGTTGTGACCGTTCATAGAAAGTACACAGCATTTACCTTGATTTAATCTTAAACCGTAATAGGCTGACTCCGTCTCAATCTTATTCAAAAGTTTGTTCGTTCCTGCGGTGTCCTTAGTAACCAAGAGTGTGTCATCAGCATACAATATCTCGGAAAAACGAATGCGATCAAGTCGGCTGTTGCAAATCTCTCGGTCAATGTCGGCGTGAATATCATAAAACATGACACTCATAACTAAAATAAACAGGTAAGGCGATAATGGACAGCCCTGCCGAATTCCCGCGTGTTGAACTTTGATACCAGAGAGGTCTTGTTCATGCTTGACACAAAAAGTAGGTCTTTCATAAATACACCCTATAACTTTCCTCATCTTCTCCGGTATTCCGAGTCTTGCTAACGCTTCCAGCATTCTCGTGTGCGAAATGCGATCGAAAGCCTTTTCCCAGTCAAGAGCCGTAAGGGACAACGTTGTCCCCCGACTGTTCAGCAATGTCTTGCAAACGTCTAGCGACATATAGAGCTTGAGTCGTATCTCGTTGTTTGCGAAAACCAAACTGCGATTCTGAGATGGAAGGGTCTATTTGGTCCGCTAATCTTCAGAAAAACAATTGAACTCCAATCCTCCAGTTTCTGGATTGCCAATTTAATTTCCCCCAACTTTCCCCCAACTCTTCACTCCATTTATATATTTTCCTCCACTTTCCTGCTGGTTTTCTGGTGGTTTTCCCCATGTTTTTTCAGAACGATGGCACCCGTTTGGTGCTGCACCGTGGCGCCTCTGCGGCGGTCGCTGAAGGCGGAGAACGAGGAGCGATGCCATGGTCATTGGTGGATTGGGATGGAGGAAATCTGCTATATATATTTATATACATACACACTATATTAATATATTAATATATTTTAATATTTAATTCAGAATGACAAACTATGATAAATAATTAATGGGGAATCTATAATATGTTAATGTATTCTAGTGGGAAATCGAATCGAATATTGCCCCATAGATCTTATGGCAAATCACAATTGGGATGGAATATGAAATAGGTGAGAGAGAAATAGGTGAGAGAAAAATCAACACAGATGGGGATGGTCATATTCAATGGGGATAGAATCAAATGGATTTGATTAAGGTCACGAGGTAAATCCAAATCTAAAGGAACGAAATTCATGGTCTTACAGTAGGTTGAAAACCATGCCTAAATGGCAGGTTTATGGCATTGTTTTTTAGCACATTACATCAAGTGCGTCAAAACATGCTCAAGACAAATAGTAGACCCCTGTCGTTAATGGATTGTTGCCAAAAAAGAACAACGTGTAAGACTAGGTTTAAGATTGGGAGTAGTTGTTTACACTGTACTTCTTTGCGAATATGGTTGCTAATGATATGAAATACACCATGCTAGTACAGTTGTTTTGTCGTTGTGGTTTCCCTGGCTGTAGAGCAGTAGTCTGATTGAAATGGATTGCTTGGAAGGGACACGGCTTCGTTGCAAGTCCACCATAGTACCTCAGCGTTTTGCCCAAAGTCGGTGTTGGAGTGTCGGAAGGATTCTAAGATGACTCGTCATGGTGTCGTCTACGGTGGCGGAGGCTCAAGCATGGTATCAACTCGGCAAGCCAACTACTTCATCATCGAAGACCGGCGCACAAACTCTCGTGACATTACGCGGGCCACCCACGACTACACCACCAATGATGTTTATCGTGAAGTCAACACCGCACTGTGCACTGATGATCGCTGTCTTCTGCAGAAACATGCCAAATTCATCAATTTGCTCCGTCAAGCTTTGTATGGACACCGTGAACGAGGCATTGTCTACCGTGGAATGTTTCTTCCAGGCCGTGACCATCAGCTCTACCAAGTGGGTCGGAGGTTCCTGTGGCCAGGTTTTACCTCTGCAAGCCGTGACGAGCGTCGCGCCCATGAATTTGGGAGCTGCTCCGGCTGGGGCGAAAGAGTCCTGTTTGAGATTGATCTGGACTATATGCAAGGCCTCACGTGGGTGAGAGACATCAGCTGGGCATCGCAGTTTCCTCAGGAGCAGGAGCTCCTTTTTTATCCATACAGTGGCTTTCAAGTGGTGGACAGAGTGTGGATGGGCGAAGATTTGCATATCACTCTCATTCCTGTTGACGCGAAGGCAGTTGAAGCCAGGGGAAGAAGGGTTCCTTCGTCGAGGTTCCGTTAAAGTTCCCTTGAAATGCTTGGTTGACGCCTTCCTGAGTCACGGAGGCATGAGAGTTCAAGCACTCATCGATGGCGGTACAACACCATCATCGCAGCTGCTGGTGCTGATATCCTCGAAATCCTTCATTTAATCGAGGCGTCAGCAGATTCATAGCGGAGGAGTGGCTTTGCCTTGCTAGGAACAATTTGCACAGTGTTCCTACAGAGTCTTGGTGGCCACTGGAAAACATCTGCAGCTAGTTTGCATGGTCTGAAGTACTTGCTGGTCATACACACCATTACATGTAGATAGTTTTATTATGTTTTACATATAGATGATAGATACCAATGTAATAGCAAAAAAAATAGATATACATATGTATATATATATATATAATATATATATAATATATATATATAATATATATATATATTATATATATATATATTAATTATTATATATTTATGTCTATCCATCCATATATCCTGGTTGGACCATACTCTTACGTTCCCCTGTTGCAACACCCTGGATGGTTGGCACCGTGCCTTCTCCAGGAGGCGGTGGCTGCAGCTTCAGCTGCTGCTCGTGCGGTGCGAGAAGCCTTGGAAGAGGATGTGATAGTGGCACTGAAGGGAAGGTGGGGTACGGTAGTTCCATGGTGTTACCCTGTGGGGGGACCTGGTAATGGAAAATCAATGCATGAAAATCTGCATCCATGACAATCTGTGCATTCCTTACATGATGTGTCCAGTCAAGTATCCTGATGTGTAGAAGATTTCCGATTGCATACCACATTTGATTGGGCAGAAAGATAGCTCAGCTTTGGACCACCAGTTTTTGTCATGGAGGCTCCCAAAACATCCAAGACACTCGAATTGAATGGGAGTTATTACAATACAGAGGCGATGGAAATTTCGTCGGATTGCGCCAACTCAGGATCTTGTAATTGTGTGCATTCCAGCCCAGTATTGTTCCGATACCAGGGACGCTACCACTTGGCAATTGGTTTGTTTTTTGCACTTAGCTTTGACCGATGTTGTTTGCAGTTCTTGCGCAAAGACAATTTGATATGGTTGGAAATTGGAAACTACGTAACGCAAACAATATGTCTTGAATGGGCTGCATCAGCTTGAAGCAGATGGGCTTCCTTGTGTCTCAGGCAAGCATCGGACCTGGCACTGTGCCTGGCACTTGCTGGCTGCGAGGATCAGGAGATCTTTGATGCTCGCTTCAGATGCCGGTACTCGTGGCCACTCTGCCACTAGTCATCAGTTTCCCGATCATGGATCAACTTAAAGAATATGAGGCGCCTTGCAGTTCACATCTCAAAGTTGTTGAACAAAGTGGTCATCATGGATGCGTATGAGCCTAGAGAAATATCACGGAATATCACGGTACTATCCTTTTTGGGGATTGGCTATTCACCCAAATCAACTAGATATCAGAAATCATACGACTCAACACCAAAATATAGATAGTGATTGTCATTCACCCTGATTTCGCAGTGTATCTGAGACATTGACCCCAATAATGAATCTGTTCCTGATATGAACGCCCTCCTAGAAGCCTTGGTGTAGTTGGATCTATACACTTTGGGGGAAGGCAATATGCTGGCTATATACTTAATGTTGATCGGGGGATCAAGGGAAAATTTACAAAACTCCATATTTAGTGAATGTAGTGGGAAAATCGATGGTTTCCTGTTGATCAGCGATCACTGGTGAGTGTGCAGACGGTGGAGCGGTTGGCGACCGCAGGGTACTGACAGAGACTTGTCCTGGGTGGGGTCCGGGGGTATATGAAAAATCACATTGATATTGTCCATATTGGGATAATTTTGGGACTATGATGGGATTTATGAGGCTACTATGGAAAATTATGCGATTATGATCGATGTTGAGAATTTGACTAGTATTTGTTGGGGATGTTTGATGGGATACGTCTGCCCAACATATATGGGTGTGTCTGAAAGTGGAGAAGACCCCCAGGATGAAGGTGAACCTGTGGATTTGGGAGGGTGCCCTATGTTCAGAAAAAACGACTTGGGTCATGGCAACTATATGCACTGAGTCCCAAAGCGTGTGGTAATTGAATTTCTGTATCAATGGCGGAATAAGCATACAGAACAACAACTTTTCGGCTGGATACTGGGGGTTGACCCCAAATTCATACAAGTAGCCAACAAAGATCGGATATGGCCAACAAGTAGGGATGTTAGACTCCAACTGATTTGACATGGGTCAAATTTTAAGACACCGCATCAATCCCGCAGATGTCGGACATTGGCCCATCGAGGACTGTTCTAGTCTGGTAAGGCAGCGTTGAAGCGCTTGGGTCCCTTGGTGGACTTTGGCAGGTCCTTTTGGTCATCTATCATACTATAATGATACTATATAATGGACGAATTCATTCATAACACCTCTATGTTGGAGGCTGGGGATCTTCGTTTTTTTGGGTTACAGTAAAATATAAAGTGCCATTTGCAACCACATGATGGACCCGTGATCCTGCAGGTTGTCCCGAGTCCTCCAACTTGCGCGATTTGCAGATGGGCAACTCCTCATTGCGCTTCAGCCTAGCCCCATGCCTAAGACGGGCCTCGAGACAATCCAAAGATCAAAAAGAGCGAAGCTGGTCTGAGCATGCTTGTGAAAGGTTTTTCTGCATAAAAAACCGTTTTTGACTTTACATGTGTGTTTTCGTTTGTTTCTTTTTGGCCTTTCTACAAGCTCCAAAATCGTTTTTGATTTTGCAATAAGTCTTCCATTCGAAGAAAAGGCGATTTTAGAGTGATTTTGGAGGTAAAAAAAACAACAAAACAAATGAACACATTGAGTCTGAAAAAAAACAAAAACAAATCCACGTTTGGAGATTGATAAAAAATCAAAAACAAACATAAATACACATTTCTAGTCAACAAAAAAAGGAAAAACACTGGAAAAACACATGCGTGAGTGGATTCTCACCACCAGTGACCAGGCCCTTCGGCAGCTTGTGGAGGGCGGGTTTCAAAAATCCTAGTCCTAGACTATAAAACCCTAGATAGTGGGTTTGTGTCATTGTGTTTTCGTTCTTTGTCCTTTTCTCCTGTGAATTGTTTTCCCTTTCTCTCTCTCTTTTTGTTTTGTTGCTTTCTTATCTGTTTTTCTTCTCTCTTTTACTGTCTCTTTCAGGTTCTCTTTTTTCTCTCTCTTTTTTCTACATGCCTGTCTAAAATCACTTTTAAATCACTAAATGTGAATTTTTGACTTTCCAGAACCAGGCTGGCCTGGGAACTCACAAAGATAGATAGATAAATTCTATAAGATAGATAGGCAGATAGATCGAAAAATGAGCAGAAAAATAGACAAATGACATGAACAATGGATGGGTAAGGTAGATAGAAAACAAAGAAAAAATATATAGACAGATAGGAGGATAGAAAGATAGGGAAAAACATAAATAAATGGATGGATAGATAGATTAGATTAGATTAGATTAGATTAGATTAGACTAGACTAGACTAGACTAGACTAGACTAGACTAGACTAGATTAGATTGATTGATTAGATTAGATTAGATTAGATTAGATTAGATTAAATTAGACTAGATTAGATTAGATTCGATAGATAGATAGATAGATAGATAGATAGATTAGATAGATTAGATAGACCGATTAGATAGATGGATGGATGGATGGATAGATAGATAGATAGACAGACAGACAGATAGATAGATAGATAGATAAATAGATAGATAGATGGATAGATAGATCGATACAGTTGGCTAGAAAGCTAGCTGAACAATAGATACATCAATAAATAGGTAGATAGAAGAAAACAATAGATAGATAGGGAGATAGATAGGTAGATAGATAGATAGATAGATAGATAAATTTACACAAACATGTAGAGGACATATGTTTTCAATGTATACATATATATATATGTATATATATATATATATGTATATATATATGTATATATATATATTACAAGGCCATGTGCAAAAATATGTACAGACACCACGTAGGACGTCAAAAAATAATACTTGGCAGATACCACATAGAGGTAAACATGCACGTATACACTGCGCGTAAATAGTACGCAAAAAATGCAAAGAGATGCGGGGGTGGATGTGTACCCAAGAGGTAATCTAACAGAAACAAATTTACTGACCACCAACCCCCACACCGTTGTGTTGTCGTTCGAGTATGTTTACAGGTATTTTTACAAGTATATCAATACAGAGGTTTTTTTGAAAAATTGCAGGGTTTAATTTCAATCTTGGAGATGCAGGATATGCAACAAACGAAATGTTTTCACAATTTTGGGAACATTCACGATATGTGCGATTGTTGAGATTCAAGCCTTCTCATTGCCATGGTGAATGTACAGTGGGGATACCTTTATGAAACAAATGCCTCTGACATGGACACCATCAAGTCTTAATGTTTGTGATCCCCTCGGTGGCCTGCTAGGCATCGTTCGCAAACAGTGAGTTGCAGCAAGGTCCTTTAAAAAATGCCAACAAAAATTGTTTTTCAGCCTTGACACTAGGTTTGAATCTGCGAAACATGGGGTGTGGAGTATTTTGGAAAGTCTGGAAAATCTTGTAGTTGGGAAAAGTGCATGCATGTTGGAATTTAATTGAATCTTTGGCTTAAGACCAAATCATGCAGTGTAAAACATGATTGAACTTGCAAGATCCAGAGTCATGGGCTTGCAGAGTGATGTGCGACATGTAGTTATTTGCAAGGTTCCAAATCTATCGTAGGGGGCTGATGCACATCAAATTGACAGTTGTTTCAAGCTGCTAGAACCTCGACGTGAACATTGTTTGCTGGTAGATTTGTATTTTTTTCCCAGTGGATTGTCAAGTGTTTCGCGCAACAAATTTGAATATGTTTATTGATGTATTAGAAACCTGTTCTCCTCACCGGAATGCCTTCTGAAGACTTTTTGCAGCGTTACCGACAAAGCATCGAAGACGAGTTGTTTCAAAACGTGTTGACTTTTTGGGACCGACACAGTGTCGACCTGGAATTGGGTGGTTTTTTTGCTTGCTTGGATGAAGACGGGGACATCTATGACAGGCGGAAATTTATGTGGCTGAATGGGCGCCAAATCTACATGTATGCAACATTAGCGGAAACTTATACCGATGATGAACTGTTCTCACTGAGCAACTCCAAACTGAGCAGAGACAAACTTTTGAAAGATGCAGAAGTGGCAGCAAACTTCATGTACGCACATGGGGTTCGTGAAGAGGATGGAAAGGTATATTTTTCGTTGGCAGAAGATGGGCAACCGTACCATATCGAACGCAAAATTTTTTCGGCTTGCTTCTTGTGTCTTGGAGTAGGCTCTGTCGGTGCTGTTCTGAAGAAAGATGGTGAAGACAGGGCGGCAAAATTCATTGAAAAGTGTGTCTGGTTGTTGAAACGAATTGTGACTTGGAGCCGGGATCCGTCTTTGCTTGGAAGGGAAACTTGTGCAGGTGCTCCCATCACAAGTCCCATGAATGTTCCCATGATCATTTTGAATGTGCTGCACGAGTTGCAGACAAAGGGCGCACTTTCAACTGAATCGGCCGCTCGCGCTGGCATTGATTTGGCCATGGAGGAGGAGTGGTGCATTTCTGAGATTTTGAAGCACGTGAAGAGAGAACGAAAACAAGTGCTTGAAGTTGTCCTTGCTGATGGTTCTTTGTGCCCAGGCTATGATGGACGACACATGAACCCCGGACATGCCATTGAAGCTGGCTGGTTTGTCCTTCAGTATGCCAATCGCAGCGGCAGGGCTGATCTAGTTCAAGTGGCAGAGCAGATGATTACCTGGTCGTTTGAGGAAGGCTGGGACAAAGAACATGGTGGTTTGTTTTATTTTCTTGATGCAGAAGGCCGTTCTCCCGTGTATTTGGAATGGGACATGAAACTCTGGTGGCCACACAATGAGGCCATGATTGCTTTTGCGATGTTGTATGAAACTTTGGGGAAGGAAGAACATTGGGAGTCCTTTGTGAAAGTGACGGACTATGCCATGAGCCACTTTAGCGACCCTCACAATGGGGAATGGTATGGCTACCTGAATCGTGAAGGGAAGGTGACACACCGCTTCAAGGGCGGACCATACAAAGGTTGCTTCCATGTGCCTCGAAGTTTGTTCATGGTCCACCAAATCTTGCGCCGCTGTTCAGCCAAAGCTGGTGTTGCTTCTGACTGACATGTCAAACCCGTTTGAATGTGAGATGTTGGTGAAACCATATAGGTTGCTAGCGGCACGAAATTGCGCTCACCTGTTGCAGTGCTTCCAAAGTGAGCATTGTAGTAATAGTTTTGCTTCAAAAATGAATCCGACATCAGTGAAATTTGTTGGATGACATTTGCAACGGTGTACCACTTCCCTCAACCTGCTTCCGATTTTCGGCAAGGTGTTGTTAAAACCTGCCTTCCTTCCCTTTGACTTGCAGCACTTCAAACTTTTCCGAGCCTGGACGAAGCCTCAAACTGTCAACACCTGCATCAGCGACATTACGATGATTTTTTCTGTTTGGCGAATGCAAACTGACAACGGCTCAAACGTATGACAAAACCAGAATTCTTGGCACCACTTCAAGAGAGCTGATGGTTTCATTCTTTGTCGGGTCATCAAATTCAACTTGTAGGATCCTGTAGGGCATCATATTCTGTAACAGATCCAATCAATGAGCAGATCTTTTTTCAGTGGCATAGCAGCTGTGCTGTCTTGCAGTGTTGGGCTTTCAGAGGACTGCAACGGATTTTTCCCACAGGTGAGATCAAGATTCCACATGGAAGAGGGACAAAAATCATCCTACCATATCCTGAACATTTTCAACTTGGCCTCTTTTCTCCTCACCCATGCACGATATCATCAATCAAACTGTTTGGTTCGTTCCTTGTGACTTTTTCCTCCTGAAATACGGGGGGGCATGATTGAACCCTTGGTGACGGCATCTGCCAGGAGGTGAACAGACAAAATGGGTGAAATGCCATAAGCGCAGAGATTGCTACATGAGTGTTCTCGTAGGTGTGAGATTCATGATTGAAGATCAGAAGAGGCATCGACAAAATTTATTGGGGAACCTATATATTTATCATTTATCACTATTTTCTTTGCGGCAGGTTTTTTTTTGGTTCCTGCCAGTTCCTGGTTCTGATTTTCTGCTTCTCTGCTTTCCTTACTTCTCTGCTTTTTCCTGCTTTTCCTGCTTCTCTGCTTTTTGCTTTCCCTGCTTCTCTGCTTTTCTGCATTTTGATTTCCCCGCTTCTTTGCTTTTCTGCTTCTCTGTTTTCCTTGCTTCTCTGCTTTTGTATATACTTCTGTTTCCTACTATTCTGAATGTTCTTTTTCTTCAGTCATGTGTTTTTGCAGCTGTACTTTCTGCTCCTTTGCTTCTTTGCTTCCTGTCTTTACAGTCTCTTTGTTTTTGTCAATTTCTTTTGCTGTATTCTTTCCTGTTTGTATCCTGAATGAAACCCTAGAAAGACCCTAGGTCCTAGGTGAAACCCAAAGAGGCCCTAATTATTCCTGATAAGAAACCCTACGTGAAACCCTGAACCCTAATTAACCCTAAAGCAACCATAAATGAAACCCTAATGAAACTTGCAACGACACCCTAAATAACATCCCAAAAAAAACCGAAACGACACTCTGAAAAAAATCACAATATAAATGAACCTGAAGTGAAACCTTAATTGAAACCCTAGACGAAACCCTAGAAAAGCCCTAAAGAAACCCTGAATGAATCGCTACGTGAAACACCAACAAAAACCCGAAATCACACCCTAAAAGAAACCCTAAATGAAACCCTAAAGAAGCCCTAAAGGAACCCACTTGAACGTCTAGAAATCGTGAAAAAAATCCTGATAAGAAACCCTGGCACGAAACCCTCAAGAAAACCAAAATGAACTCCTGAATGAAACCTCAACATGAAACCCTAAAGAAACCCCAAATGAAGCCCTAAAGAAACCTTAAATGAAAACGTAAATGAAACCCTAAATGAAGCCCTAAATGAAGCCCTAAATGAAACCCAAACTGAAACCCTGAAGAAACCTAAATGAAACCCCAAATGAAACTCTAAACAAAACCCTAAACGAAACCTGAACTGAAACCTCGACTGAAACCCTTAATGAAACCCTCAATGAAACATTAAATTACACCCTAAATGAAGCCTCAAGAACCCTCAAGAGACCCACATGAACGTTTGAAGTACCAAAATGTAGCAAATACCATGCAAGTGAGGGATTGAAGTGCCAAAATGTGACAAATGCCATGCAAAATGGAAGGCGAACATGGCCAAATGTAGCAAATACCATGCAAAATGCAAAGTGACCATGCCAACATGTAAATTCCATGCAAAATGACAGGTTCTAGTTCCAAACTGTCGCAAATACAAGGCAAGTGGTACCAGGAAAAAAAAGTTAAACATCCAAAACCGGCAAAAAAAAAGCAAAAACCATTCTACACCCTTTGTTGGGTCCTGGGTCAGCCACAGGACAGTGTCAACTGACAAAACCAGCGCGGGAGCCCATTCAGGCAGCACTAGGGAGCTCGAGGATCCGTGCTTGTTTCAGCTGTTGTCATTGGGGTTGTAAAAGGACCAGTTTTGCAGACTTGGGGGACCAAACTCGAGACATAGCAATTTGATGTCCTGTGCATATCGAAAGGTGATGCAATGCCAATCCAATTTCCAGTGGTTCATAGCTGACAGAGCCTCCCTTGGTGGAAGGAGCAATAGCAATCGAATGCCATGGACGAAGGAGAAACATCCAGCATCATCCAGCAACCATTCCATCATGATGTGATATAGTTGGACAATTCCAAGATACAAAATCACGCACCATGAATCACCACGATATGTTTGAATCTGATGTCCTTTGCCATGGAGCTTCCCTGGGTAGACTGGGCCTCTTTGGTCCTCGCGGGTGAAATTCTTGCCAAGCATCTTCAGCCTCAGCGGTCCCAGCTGGTTTCGCATCAGCAAATCATCGTTTCCGATGGTGCAATACCCATAGCGTATGAGTCATATGAGCATAGCATATGACAATCTGCGAGGACACTCATGCCCATGAGTCAATTAGATCTTCCAAATCACCTCAGACGATCTCATGCTGTCCTTTTGGGTGTATCTGAAAATGGTGGAATAGCCACCAAAAAAATCCAAAAAAGCTATTTGAATAGCAAAAATGATAAACCGAAGCCATGGATTTAGGGCTACCCGGCTACCCCATATTCAGCAAAACAATGACTTTATGTAAACCATTTACACCTGGCAAAACATCGATGAGTGCTGACTCACCACTCAGCGACCTGCGCCTCTGATTTTCCCCCGGTGCCAAATCCGAAGAAGGCGTCCGCCATGAAGCGAACAAATCAATGAATCAACGCGCAGGGAACAAGGTCCGTGCAAATCTGTGTGGGATAAAAGCTTCACCCAAGGTGCAATGCTACAGTTTCATATGTAATTCTTTTGCGACAGGGATCACGGGCCCCTCCTAAAGGTTGCTGGCTCTCTTGGCATTGGACCACAATTTGGGTGTCTCTTCCTTGCGGGGTGAGCTCAAAATCAGCCTCCAACACTTGATCTAGGCCTTGACATGGCAGCACGAACAGAATAGCTTGGGGATTTGGCGCCTGAATGCCAACCGGCGAATACAATCGCTCCGATGTGTGAATGTGCTATGGGCCATGAAATTTAATGCTGATGCCTGTCGAGCTGTTGCATTTGATGGGGACATAGAATCTAGGTAAGGTTTGCGTCAAAGATCAAGAAGAAACTAAGTCACATGTTGTTTTCATCTGGGTGCCAAAAACAAATGTGGTTCCCTATTTATCTATGCAACGCGACCTAGACTTGCCTTCCTCACTGACGGAAAGCGGTCCTTTGCCGCTGGCTCAAAGATTCGTTTCAGGGCTGTCTCATTGGCTCTTGGAGACGAGCCATGCGTTTTGAGATTCCGTGGTCGCCACCACTCCTGTGATTCTTGGTGACCCAAACAGCGATTTCCTTTTTTAGTGTTAGATTCAGGTAGCCTTTGGCTCTGGATGACTCGACTTGGATCACCTTGTGTACATATGAGCTGCACCGAAGTCTCAACGACTCTCATCCTTCAAATTTGGACATTGTGCGGAGCGCGATGGTGAGACTGCCAATCTGAAATCCAGGGGAGCTGCAGCCCTCCTGTCATGAGTCATAACTCTCTTCTTTGCCATTTCCTGGCTTCAGATTTCAGGCGTGGCCAGTAGCAGCTTTGTAGATCTTCTACAAACTACCCGAAACAACTGTTCATAGTCTTCCGCAGGAGTGGATTGTTTCCATGCTGAAGAGATAACCTTCAGCCGTTGTGCAGGGGCTTCCAACTGACACAGACACACACACACATGCACAACTAGGTGTTTGAATGCCAATATGATGGCAAGATGAGCAGCATGGTGGCTGCTTTATTTCAGCAGCCTTTTGTTCGGTGTAAAGTGCTTCAAGAGCTGGCAGCACTAGCAATTGGAACACTTTTCTGCTGAAGCATCCAGATTTACTGGTAGCAGAAAGCCGCATCATCAGATGGGTTTTCGGTCGAGTTGTCCGTCCAAGCAGTCAACTGAATTGCCCTTCTGTCGACCTTTGAAAGGTTTGGCCAGATCGCGGCCAGTGCGGTAAAGTCAATAAGTAATCATCCCCAATTTTCTCAGAAGTAGATGATTTCTTTCCACCATGCGCAATTGTTGGGTTTATTGGATGACCAAGCTGACCACAGTAGCCATGGGGAGAACCCGATATCCACAGTTCCAGTTTCGCTGCTGAGATATGGACATCGCAACCGCTTTACATGGCGGTTGCAATGAGGATCTGAAGAGGAATGGAGCTCCTTACCGGCCTCCCTCCTTTGCCCCAAGAAATGCAGTAATTACGCGGCATCCTTAAAAGGGGAAACCCAAACGACCAAAAATAGTGCGCTTTTTGGTACCCAACTCATGGATAGGCCAATGCCGCGATGATGTGAAACAGATGCCACTAGATCGTGTGCATGCGTTGCCTCATGATTTGATCACGGTCGCTCATGCCTCAATCTGAAACGATAAGAACATTGGTTGCTCTCTAACACCCTTGTTTCATGCAGCATATCATCAGAAAAGACCAACATGGAGGGTGCAAGTATGAGGGCTTATTGCCATGTTCGGCAGTGTGCGGTCAGTCGCATCCAACT